AACTCTGCTGAAGATTCTATTAAGTTTTCTAACATGACCACTGAGTTTTATGGTGTTGTGGCACAGGGGATTCATGGAAATATGAATCTGCTACATTTTCTAGACCCAGCTTGTATCTCTGGTCCAAAGGATAATATTAAGAATTTTCTGTAGCAGTAGCCCATTAAAGCTTTTTAAAACTGCATTAAATAACAGTTCAATTTCACCACCATAATATTTTTGTCCCAGAAATATTAAACTTAGTTTTTGATTGGAGTTTATTTTTCCAATAATTCAATGCTTGCTCACCACATAAGTCTCAACTCAAATGTTTCAGTGGAAAAAAATGTTAAGTTTTATAAAATAACTAACAAACCTGTCTCCAAAGTTTTTTACACGGCAAGTGAAAACATTAAAAATGTATATTAGGAGTCAATTCTCTCTACTCTATTTTTTGGTCAGTTTCCTCAAATCTCACTAGTATAACAGAGAAAGACAGAACAAATTACAATAGGCATACTCATGTAGACAGACAAAAGACCCAGTGGATACTGTTTTCTTCTTAGTCATCACACTTTAGAAGCAAGGAACAGATTTAATCTTCCCAATACGACCTGCTTCATGTTAGAGGAGCAGCGGGAGCTTACTAAAGCCTTGCTGTACAATGCCATTAGGGTCTATAACTGAACATTTAGATATCTGATCCCCATCCTCACTCCCAAAATCTACTAGGGTATTCAATAAAAGTCTTTCGCAAAAAAAGGGGGGAAGGGGCTAAAATGATTACACTTTGGGGATGAGGTTTACACATTTAGGCTACGTCTAGATAGCAGGGCTATTGTGAGAAGTACAGGCAGTCCCCGAGTTACGTGGATCTGACTTACGTCGGATCCGCAGTTACGAACGGGACTTTTCACGCCTACCTAATTTCAAAAATACTTATAATACAATTCCTTTAAATTTCAGAGAAAAATCAGTGTGAGAAAGAGGCCAGTATAATACCGGATTTCTCATACTGAGATTAGTCTTTACAAGATAAATGTGAAGGTTAATTTTATTTGAAAGAAAGGAAGCCAATGCCACAAACAGAGCAAGACTGAATGTTGGTTTCAAACTGAACACTTCATGATACAGAGACAAAGGCTACGTCTAAACTACACCCCTCTGTCAGCAGAGGGATGTAAATTAGATGTATTGAAAGTGCAAATGAAGCGGGAATTTAAATATCCCGTGCATCATTTGCATAATGGCGGCTACCGCTTTTTTCGAAAAGGGGCTTTTCGGAAAAAAAATGGCAGTTTAGATAGGGAATTTTCAATAGAAATGCCCCGTTTCGAAAGATCCTGGAATATTATGCCCATTATTTTGAAATATATTTCAAAATATTTAGAAATAACAGGCACATTTAAAGACATAGAATTGCTATTTTGAGATACAGGCAGTCCCCGGGTTACGTACAAGATAGGGACTGTAGGTTTGTTCTTAAGTTGAATCTGTATGTAAGTCGGAACTGGCATCTAGATTCAGCCGCTGCTGAAACTGACCAGCGGCTGACTACAGTAAGCCCGAGGCAGAGTTGCTCTGCCCTGGGCTTCCTGGAATCAGCCGCTGATCAGTTTCAGCAGCAGCTGACTTGGGGACGCCTGGGGTTCTTACATACAGATTCAACTTAAGAACAAACCTACAGTCCCTATCTTGTACGTAACCCGGGGACTGCCTGTATCTCAAAATAGCAATTCTATGTCTTTAAATGTGCCTGTTATTTCTAAATATTTTGAAATATATTTCAAAATAATGGGCATAATATTCCAGGATCTTTCGAAACGGGGCATTTCTATTGAAAATTCCCTATCTAAACTGCCATTTTTTTTCCGAAAAGCCCCTTTTCGAAAAAAGCGGTAGCCGCCATTATGCAAATGATGCACGGGATATTTAAATTCCCGCTTCATTTGCACTTTCAATACATCTAATTTACATCCCTCTGCTGACAGAGGGGTGTAGTTTAGACGTAGCCTTTGTCTCTGTATCATGAAGTGTTCAGTTTGAAACCAACATTCAGTCTTGCTCTGTTTGTGGCATTGGCTTCCTTTCTTTCAAATAAAATTAACCTTCACATTTATCTTGTAAAGACTAATCTCAGTATGAGAAATCCGGTATTATACTGGCCTCTTTCTCACACTGATTTTTCTCTGAAATTTAAAGGAATTGTATTATAAGTATTTTTGAAATTAGGTTTCCTCATTAATATACACATTTGTAAATCAGTTTTGATTGCTGTAACATTTGAGAAACTATCACCAGACTATGGGCTAAATTCAGACATGCTAAAAGCAGTCAAAAATTCCCACTGGACCCAATACTGGTTTCACTTCCATGAAAACAGGAGTCATCCACTGAGGTTCCAAGGGGTTACACCTGTAAAACCCCTCTGAAATAAGTTAAATCAGAACCATAAGCTTTGCTAGGAACTTCGCCTATTTATGAACCAAGGATGAACCAGCCAAGGATGAACTAGCTTCTTTTATTTCATTTGCTTCAGACAGCTGACTCAATCTTCCCATAAACACTGTTCTTCTTGATAATCTTCTATTTTCCTATGTCCTGTAACTTTCACTTGAGAAAAGTATCACTCAAAACATTTCCTTTCTTTTGCGTTGCGCAATACAGCTCTTCCAGACTGTACACTTGGATTATTTCTCTCCAGTCAGTTTCTCTCCAGACTCTTGAATTGACAAGTTTTGCAAAGCTAGTTTCACTTAGCTTTCTGAACTTTCATCTATATGGGTAGCCACTAGAATTTTTGTAGCTCCCTTGTTTTTCATCTAAATTTACCATCACAACCACATGCGGACTTTTTGTTGTTTCAAGTTTCAGAATGCCATCAGTATTTGTTGTATGACTTTATTTAGGCCATAGGATGCAGAGATGTAGAAGGTAAAGTGTTTGTTCCTACCATTTATTTTAATATGGCCCCTGCAATTGTGCAGGCACTGAGAAGCCCCATATGTAGTGTGACAATGCCAGCATACCAAAATACTACTGTGCTAGTGTTTGCTTTCATGAGTAAGCATGTAGTATTATTCATTTCATGCATCTCTGATAAAAGATATTACCTCACCTACCTTCTCTACCTCTGACATCACTCTGTCATACACAAGAACAATTTACAGTGGGGAAGGGACAGAGATCAGAAATGTTCAGAAAGCCAGATAGAAAGATCCTGTATTAAAGGTGTTGCTGGTTTAGCAAACCATTTTCTTATGGCACTGGATTCTGAGATGAACCACAGCAGGTAGAAAGATCCTGAATGGATTTCAAGAGCTATCATAACCACTACAGCATCCCTGAATATCAAGTCACTTTTTTTTTCTTTTTGTAAACTCAATACAGCTACTTCCTCTGAATTTGATTTGCTAATTCTGCCTGAAATAATCCCCTCAGAAATAGAATGTATGTGCACCAAGATCTACACTCACCCAAGGAAGTGGTGCCTGCTCAGAAACAATTACTCCAGTGTCCATTATTTTTCATCTGACTCCTATGAACTACACATACTTTTCTCTCCTGAAATACCAGCCTATAGCTTTCTCGAGTGATCCTTTGGTTAGGCTGAGATAGCAAAACAGGAAGCACCGGGACCATTGCTCAGACAATTGGTAGTGGTAAATATCTCTTTTCTACTGGCTTAATGATGTTGCATTTAACAAGTAATGCTATTGGCATTGCTCTTAAGTTTGCTTGCACTACTTCCTCACAAGTCACTTCCAGCTAGGGAGAGACTGGCTTTGAGCTGGGAAGCAGAATAACCAGATGAACAGGAGAAAGCCCTATTTTAATTTACAGTATGGTCCCCCTTTTACATCACTCTGGAATAGTAAAGACAATGATTATCAATGTAATTCACCCCACTTTAGGAGCCCTTGTCACCAGAAAAGAAGAGATAAATGGGCTTTAGTAAAATAAACATGAGCAGCAGGAAAAATAATGTCCTAATGTGCCAATACAATACACAAACTTTATGTACTCCAAATCCACAGGTAGTCACTAAAACATCATCCCAACCCAAGGACTCTTTGGCTCTTGCCAGGTTTCTTACCAGCCATCCATAACACAAAAGTCACCAACATACTTAGCATGAATTGCCACCCATGGTGTGTGTGTGGAAACAAGACAAGTTACACTAAATATATATGCAGACTCTGTGTCATTGATTTCTTTTCCACCATAAAGCTGATGTGCAAGTGCCAGGAATATGAGGTCTTGTAGGTCAGCAGAGGATGAACTTTATAAAAAAAATCTCCATCAATATATTTTGTGATTACAAAATGTAGAAGATAATTTCAAAGCATCACATAATTAGACCTACTAAGTGGGACAGCTTAAAAAAATGCTATAAAATAGTAGTGGGTTGATCAAGTTGGTCAGTCAAGTGTGTAACCATGTAAGGGACAAAGCAGGACGATAGGAGGAAAGGCAATCAACAGGGAGGTATAAGGCTAAATTTCCATGTGAAAAAAATAGCATGTTTGATATAAGCATCTCCACCGTTGTTGGTTTTCCTGCTACAACTTCACCCTTCTGCCCTTCTCATCATGTAAGTTAAATTAACTTACATTCACAGTCCCTTGAACCAGCTTTCCAACATGGGACCTACACCACCCATTCAATCATCTCAGACCATATGATGCACGCATAGTATTCACGGTGAGAACCCTAGATGAAATGTGCCCTACACAAACCCTGGAAACATATAATGTAATTTCTAATTTTCGGATGTTATGTACAACATGTATAAATATGGCAACATAAAGATTTTAACACTCATTCATCCTC